GAAATTATTAATTAAAATATATTATTACAAATAAACTAAAATTATTATATTAAAATACTTAACAACAGATAAATATCAATCCATAATGAAAAATTTTATGTTGCTTATAGATAAGAAATTACTTTAGACTCTAAGGAAATTACTTTATAATATAGTTAATCCCCTATTATTCAATTTGGTGTAATTCTAAAATCAATTATTTAGATGTAGGAGAATGTACTCAAGTTACAAAATTGTAAATAATTAATATAGGAATTTTTTAATGATAGCAAAGCTTGCTATCATTAGCTCCAAAAAAATAATATTTGGGGCTTAATATCCTTAAGCACAATTTATGTTATTACCTTTTAGGCTTTGAAAAAAAATTTATAAATATAAAAGTTAAAAGGATCAATATTTTAGAATGTAAATATATAGTAATAATAATTATATTCTTCGCTCTAATTTCTTCACTTTTTATTTGATATAAAGATTATAATAAAAAAATAGGACTTACATGTTAAAAAATTATTATAGTGAAGTTTCATAGGTTTAAAAAATAGTAAGATCAATGATTTATCAATTATTTAGCTTTTAAGTAGGATTTTCAAAAAGTTAGAATCAACATATAGGACAAAAAATCTAGCGAATGAAATTCATATTATTATCAATAACATAAAATCAATTTCTTTATGCAATGAATTTTTTTTTTTTTTGAGCTAATAACAAAGAAATATACCTCCAAATGATATTATGAGAAGTGTGATATTGATCGAAACATAGAAAAATAAATAAAAATAATTTAAAAAAGTTAAGAAAATAAAGGAAGTACTAGAAATAAGCAATAATATTAAAAAATAAAATTAAATAAAAAAATTTACATGCCTTAACTACACAACAACCTTGATTAGAAACATTAAAAATATTAAAAACATTAAGATATTTGTGCTAAAAGAGGAAGAAGTGAAATGAAAATAATGTATTTATTGTGAGGTTATTCATATCTGACCTGTACTTAATGCAAGCTAAATCACAAATTAAAAAGACAACAATGATTTTTTTTTTAATGAAGAAATCCATTGACCAAAATTAAGAAATAAAATCAACATTACATATATATTAATGCAGGAAAAAACCCTTCCCAACCATGGCTATATCCAAGCGGACATTCTATCCTAGCAATATTACGAGCTTAGGAGTGTACAGACCTTCCAACATGAACAAAATCAGAAACTCTGAATTGTGAAGCAACATCTAAAAATGTCAAAAACTACTCCAAACTCCTTCCCAGTATGATTGAATAACAAATATGTGAAATCATTAATTATTAAGTAGATTTTGAAAGATAAAAGATATAATAAATGATATTAATTTGTTTGAATTAAAAAAAAAAATTAAAGGATTAATAGGAAATCATTAAATAGTACAAATTATATTTGAGATTTTCAAATTTAAAAAAGAGAGATATGTATATTATTAAAAAAAATTTATTTTAAAAGATATGTATCTAAATTATATTTTATTATCAATATTTTAATATTTACTACTTCTTTCAAAGTTTTTAACTCGTAATTCCTATTTGAATATCCCTTTACTGTTGTCATAATGTTGTTATTTTTTTTATATGTCTAATTATATGTTATTTAAAATAAAATGAAACAGATAACTAATCCAAATATTTAAAGTATTCTATAGAGAAAAAATAAATAAAAATTAGTAAAATCACAATGATTTAACTAAAAAGTATTTGATTTTTAATAGTTAGTATTTGAATTTTAGATTTAATATATTGATGATAAGAATGATTTGAGATATTTATTTTTGTGTGATTTAAATTAGGATAAAATTGATATATAAATTAAAAGATTGGGATAAACATAATTTTTAAAATTTTAAAATTTTTGAACATTGAATAATTTTTAAATAAAATTTATCTTGTAAATAATTAAAATTAAGGAATTATCTTACTTTTTTTAATTAAAGAATTATCATACTTTTAAACGATACATGTAAGTATCCATGTAACAATGCTTATTTAGATAAACATTTAAAACTATCTTATGTGTCATCAAAATAGGTTGTACACATAGGATTACACGTAAGCAAATCTTATCAAGTAATTTTATATGTTGTAATATAATATATATATGATATAATAAAATTATTAAATTAATAAATATTTATTGATAGGTAAACTAATTTTTATAATATAAATTATGTAAAAAATTTTGAATTAGAAAATAAATTAATCTATTAAATCCATAATAAAAGAAAAACAAAAATATTATATTATATATAAAATATTTTTAAAAAATACACATTATTTTGGAACTTATTACAATAAATATTAGTTTTAAAATATAAAAATTTGTAATATAAAATAATTATAATTTTAAAGGAAATCAAGTTTTTAACTCACATATTAAATGGCTAATATTGATAATTTTTTATTTTACGTATCATTTTACTTTTATGATAAAAGTTTCCCATCATTTTGAATAAGAATTAATGATCCTTTCATAGTAATCTAAGATCACTATCATATAAGATCATCATTTGCTTACCAAATACAATGATCTAATCATCATATATAAATTATCATAATTTTTAAAATAATCACCTAATACCAAACACTACCTTAAATTAACCTTTTAAATTAACTTGATCTTCTAAATAGCAACTTCTCAATCACTTATTTGACATAGTCAAAATAGAAGGGGAACAAAGATTAAAGGTGTCAATCTCTTATTTGACTTAGATGAGGCTAAACCATCCTTTAGTTGCTATTGAAATTATTTACCACAATTTAACCCCGATTTCACTGAGGTCCAAAAATATTTTTGAAAATTTGATGGTAATTTATAATATCACAACGAATTAGCTTCAGAATTTAATTGCTAGACAGGGAAAAAAAAATTTGTCACCAATCTTTTTTTGTTATATAGAAGTAAACATCTAATTAAATTTATTCCTTTTATAAAAATCTTAAATTTGTCAAGTATTTTAAAAAACAATAAATTCTTATTATCGTTATAGAAAAAAATTTGAGAGTAACTTAGCGTAAAAAAACTAGTACCCTACAACGTCTATTTTAATATGGTACCAATTATTCTTATATTATCTTAAATTTATCTAATTAAGTTTATCTTTTATTCTAATTATAGGTTCGTCCTAACGTTCAAAAGGAGAAAATAAAAGCCTTTCATCAAGGTTTAATAGCCATCTTGCTAAATGCTAGCACAAGATCATCCCCTGCCTCGGTGAAGGACTCAGCATGGATTGTGTGGACACTATTGGATATCGAAGACATGGGCGGTTGTGGTTTTGGCAACTCCCCTATTCTTGTGCCTGATCAATTTGGCCATTATAGGAGTTCAAACTCAAGATTACAATATCTTTGCAATCTGGTATGATCTTAATCATATGTATGATTAAATTCTGTCTTTATCACGGTGAAAACTTGCATCCTAGGAGGGTTCAGCTATCTTCTTGTTTATATTTCGATATCTTCGCTGTGCGTTTTTATTCATGTTTGAGCATGAGACCGAATCCAACAAGTCTTTTGGGCATATTGCTCGGCAAATGTTCGGGTTATCTCATCCCAATTCCTATTTATGGTTTCGAGCTGGTTGTGGAACCAATTGGAAGCAGCTACAGTCAGGGTCATTGGGAAAGCAGTAGTGAGCTATTGCCTAAGCCTTTGAGTTGCAACATGAATATGAATTGTTTTAGATGAACCCTATGGTCTCCGATTCCATCGAACCTCTCAATGATGGGCATAATTATTGTAGTGAAACGATAAGAAGAAATTAACTGGTCAAGGTTCCTCGTATTTAGGTTTCCCAAGGGAGAAGTCCATATGCTGATTTTTAGTTGCTAATCTTGGTAAGGTTGTGAAGAACTTGGTTTTTGATGTCTAAAATTAATAATCAAATTGACGACTATTTTAATAGATTTTTCTAAATAATATTATATATAATACAAATATATAACATTTTTATTTATATTTTCAAAAAGACAAATATGCCATTGACAGTAAAATTATAAAATGAATTTTATTGAATACAAATTGTTGTAAAAGTATTATTCAAAATTTATGATAAAAAAATTAAAAAATTCAAATTTTCAGCTGAATCGATTAAATCGATCAATTTAATTTGTTGGATTGTTTTGATTATTTGAAATACGTTAATGGATTTTAATTTTTTTCAAAAAAAAAAAGTTAATTAATTTAATTTTTAATTTTTCAAAAATCGAATCTACTGGTAGCTTATCTATCGGTGAGACCATTGGTTTGAATTCCTATAACGCTTAATTGGAGCATATATTGGCAGTTGGTTATGCTTTCTTCATGTCACTTGGACCAAGTCCGAGACCCTTAGACTAGCAGTCTGGTATATTAATTCACCCGCATGGCATGTCCCATTTTTCTCATAGGAAAATTTCATAATTAAACCAATTAAACGGGATTAAGGAAGTATTTTGGTTAAACCGGATCCAAATATTCATTGATACATTAAAAAAATATTAAAAAGTTGTAAAACATTAAAAAAAACTAAAAAAAAATAATAAAGATGGGCCATGACCTAACTTGACCTAACAGATAGCAGACGTTTATAATCATTTTGATTATTTGTAATACTCAATGCATTAATAAGCTGATTTTTTTATGTAATTTTTTTTGGGAATTGAATAAATTTTTATAGTGTTTGAGGTGTTAAAATTTGAATATTTAACATTGAAATTAATAGTTTAACAATTTATCATGTACCATACAATCATTGTATTTACAAATTATATTTGGATGTAGCTTGCGAACTTTTATAACTTAAAAGATGATGCAAAATACTTTCTTTCTCAAGATTACAATTTGCAATATAAACCAAAGCAACAACACTTGACACCCTTCCATTTTCCTGTACAAGAAAGCAAGACCATACATCCATCCGTTACTCTCGTTTTTTATTTTATTTATTTTTATTTTGGCTCCATTTTATCTGAATATAAACTCACCCTCTAATTCAATTCAAAGTAGCTGTAATTTCATTTCCCATTGCAGAATAATACTGCAAATTTCGATTTCCATCGGCAATTTGGGGAGCATTAACCTTGCCAGCTGCCATTGCCTTGCGACATCTATCAGCTTCAGGGCCAATAACGCTAACATCATAGTTTGCGGTCATTGCATCTTCACGCAGTTCTGCAGATATCATTCCAAATGATCTGACAGCATATTTAAAGACGTCCTCGCAAGTTTTCAAAGCTTGCAGAGCCGCGGGTGAAGTTGGGCTCTTGGTCATTCCGGAGATGACATTAAGCGTAGTTTGAGCAGCTGATGTTGCTGATTTCATGACAGCATTGGTAAGTTGGTTCGGATTTTTTGCAGCTGCAGCTTGGGAAGTTGAAAGAACTTTAAAGCAGAAATCACGATTCAAGATTGACTTGCCATCGCATACTTTGACTGTTAATGCTGGAGAAGCTGCTACCATTGATGGTGAAGGAGAAAGGACATAGACAGACAAGATGATTGTTAAAGTTACAAAGAAGTGACTTTGAGGAGCCATTATCTTGTCTGAAAGGGTTGATGTTGCTAGGCTTAACTTGTTTTCGGATGAATGTATTGCTAAGGTTTCTCACAGTTGCTTCATTTTATAGATGTGGAAGACAGTCTAATTTTGAAAGAGTCGAATTGCCATGATGAATGACAACCACGAATCGTCCTTTTATATGTATAGCATCTTGTTAAAACTGAAACAACTTAAGTGGTGCATATTGTTCCCCTTCAACTTAAAATAGAAATTGAAAATTTGTTGGTTAGAAGGATAGATCCATGAACTAATCATTTTCCATGTCAAAACTACCATTTTTTTTATTTGAACTTATTAAAATTTAAACTTTAATCATTGAAATTAAAAATTCACTCATCCTACCAACAAATCATCAACATCTAGATAACCTTTGTAGAATAAATCAAATTGATTTTTTAACCAATAATTTTGGACTACAAAAAAAAAAAAAAAAAGATAGCTTTCTCTTCTTTTTGAATATTGTCACCCCCTATTCCATGTATAAAATGCGCGAGCATCACTTGCGAGCTTCCGAGATATGAAAATAACAAATGAACTTATTGTCCAAATAAAGGAGTGCTCGAGTTTCTTCGGACTCTACAAAAGTACGCGTGGACATTGGTTGTATCATCAACCGATGTTTTGCTGTTTTTTTTCCTTTTTATTTAACAGCAAAGTTCCTAAACTTTACTCCAGACATTTTTTATGATCACTTCGTATGAATTTTTTTATGTCGAAATTACTGAATTTATAAAAGGATTATTTTGTTATTAATTTTCAAAATTTTTTTACTTCAAAAAAAAAATCTCTCGTTTCTACATAATGTAAAAAAAATAAAATATATAAAGGGAAAAAAAATCCATCTTGTTACATTTTGTGATGACAAACAAGAAAAAGAAAATTCTATGAAAGAGGGGTAATTCACAGATCAAAACAGAAACTAATGCAAGTTAAATATAGATAACTGAAAGCTTCCTAATCCTAATTATCGGACAGAGAGCTTTTAGATAATTTTGTGAGGAGCAGGAAATAAAAACAAAACTAGACATTCCACCAAACGTTGAATATCATTTCAACAATGCTAAGAGAAGAGAGTATAGAAAGGAAGGCACTATTCATTTATCTTCTCAAAAACAATTACAAAGACACATTCCTATCCCATGGACTGCTTTCCAAAAGAAAACTAAAAAAGAGAAGTACTAGAATTCAAAAAAAAAAAAAAAGAAATAAAAGAAAGTTGATAATACATGCTTTCACACCTAAAAGGGGAGTAAATTTCACTCCCCGATGGATAATTGTCATTCTCTAATCAATTGAACTTCCCCGCCATACGAGGAAAACACTATCCAACAGACTGCACATCATCATTCATGCAATGGCAAACCATACAAATTACCCCATCATTGTCTAACTTCTTTTGGAATGATATAGCTTCTGCTTTCAGTAACGGTGGAATTGGCAAGGACATCGGCTGCAATTTCCCAACTACCACTTCTCCTTCCCCAACTTGAGTGTCTAGTGTCAGATCGAATTGTAGGAGCACGATGATCTGAACCTAGAATAGAATCAGCCTCCAAGGTGGTATGAGAAGGGCCGTTGCTCCCTCTACTGCGGATTTCCTCATCAATTTCCTCGATATTACGCCTCTGGGAGATCTTCAATAGATCTTCACCGATCTCTAGATCATCCTCAACCTTTGAACGTAGATCTCCATCAAGATCTTCTGCTTCTGCTTCCCGGCTACTTGGTAAAGTAGGCCTTGGTACCTCCTCTTGAACAAAAGCCCGAAAATTGTTCTTCGAGGGCTTTATTTTTGTGCAAAATACTTCAAGAAAATTACTTGGACAACCCCGATTGTAAACATTGATTCTGTTGTCAGCCCTATATCGAAAGTTTTCATAGGTAGTCTGAAAGACATGAAGGTGCAGTAGTTAACTCCTAAAAAAACTCGAGGAACTAAAGATAAAATGGAACTTTGTTCCATACTATAAAACAACAATGTAAAACATGCTCCCCCCCCCCCCTCTGGCGACATTCACACCGACACCCTCTATACCCAATTTTACCATGTTACTAGACTCAAGGCCAAAAACTTACTAATATTTTTCATTGCAGAATATTTTCCATATGCATTTGCCAAACTCTCACAAGTTAGAGGGCAGAAAAAACAATATAAGGCTTCGGTCAATTTTTATCATACTTAAATCAAGTCAGGAAATCATGTGCCATTCAAAAAAAAAGTCAAGGTCTTTGTAATTTTGAAATAATTAAGATCAAGCACAACTTGAGCCATCATACAGCAACCAGGAGAAATTAACAGACCTGGTTTGTTCCAACGAGGTACAAATGAAACCCAGTTAGCCCGCCTACAAACCACAGCGAAATGAAACAATATGCCATTAGTATGACAGATGGAGGAGATTCCTGCATTGCTTTCCAAACTGTTCCATGGTGATCATCCATCAGAACCTTGATGTACAACGCTGACATGGAGAACACATAGATGCAGAGAACAGTTGCCGAAGAAACGAACATAAAGAAATACCGGTAATTTCGCTGCTCATAAGCACAACAGTCAGCCTCCTAACAAAACACTGCTCAAGAGAAGCAAGCAAGAAACATCCAGATAAGAATCAATAAACAGGTTTATCAGATAAAACAACATACCTGTCCAATGCATTGCCCCACCCAAGGGCAATGGTGATCAAAACGCTCCACACAATTGCTGCAAATGGAACAGTGGGAGCAACGGGGAGGGCGATAGAGCATGCATGTGTCACAATACTTCACTCGCACATGAATTCCATTAACCATAACTTCCTTGGTTCGAGGGAACTGACGGCTGGGTGTTTGCCTACCCCCAGCCTCAGCTGAAACCGAAGAATCATGGCGGAACTCTTCCTCTGGTGGATGTGAATTGCGTGGAATGATTCCAGGGTCCCGGGCTGATGTGAGCAAAAGAAGAATCAACACCTATCAAAATAAACTGTGCTATTAAAATCAATAGCAATTTAGACAACCCAAAAGAAAAAGTTAAAAAAATAAGAGATAAAAAGTTATCCAAAAGATTTACTACTTTAAAAATGCATTCACCATATAACATCATGTCAAGAAATAAGTAGGCGCTATCCTAAATTCCTAATTTTATCTAAGACCCAAGAAGGTCAAACTTCTATGAGAACTCCACTTCCAGTACAAATTCAACAACTGATCTAGATTATATGAAAGGATTCCATCATATATTCCACCAAAAAATCTTTTAAAATTCAGAAGATCAACTATCTTATGAATTGGGACATAAAAATTGGTTTACTCTAGATTGTGAAAATTTAACTTCAATAAATGCACACAAAAATTTTGTTCAGAAAATTTACGACAGAGACAATTGTTGAGAAACCCCAACAATTAAAATTGGTACTCCATCTTATCCATAACTTGCAGCTGGTAAAGTTCTTACATAACAGTTAACTCTGCTGGCATCCAGGGTGATCACCTCAACAGTAGTTGTTCTAAAACCTCAAGAAAGAATTCAAGCAATGAGGAAAAGGTGAAGATGACTTACATAGATAGTAAATACAATTGCTACCACCAGAATTGAATATCCTGCATTGTGTGGAGAAAATGCATGCTGAAGATGCCTTGCAACAAATACACAAAAGATAATAACAGGAACAGTGATCAGCAATAAGGTAACAAGCAGAGACCTAGCATCTGGCCCAAATATCAGCCTCCCACCAAGGATAAACTTCTGCATAAAGTATATAGAAGAGGAATTAAATGCTAAAGGAAAATCAAGGCAAGATCTATCTAGACTGGAGAAAGCAAAATATAAAATAAAGAACGTGCTATCAAATTTCTATATTTTAACAATGATATTCTAAATGTTATTCACAAATTGCACTCCATTTATTAAGTTTTGGTCCTAGTTAACCTACACCCATGCTGCCATGCATCCTAAAGTAGTCTTCAAAGTTCTAACTTTCATTTACCTCCAACCTAAGTCTCATTTACTAATATCATCTAAAAATATGCTCGGTAAGTTTATCCATGACTAGCGGAAAGAGTGAGGATGTAAAGTAGTTCCCTGTTGTAAATATGTGATAATAGTATTTTCACCAGTTTCAACACTTGTAACTGCTTCCTCTACATATCCTCAATAACATCAATATAAATCTAACGGTAATCCTTTATTATAACTTCTACCACAGGACCCTAATTATCAAAATGGGGGGAAATTTAAGCATTACATTCAAGTTTTGATTTTTGCCTCAATGTATAGGTTAATAAATGCTTTAAACTTTTTCAATTTTGCTTACTAAATATAAATTTTATAAAAATTCAAAAAGGGAATAACATCAAGAGCAGAGAGATTATTGAGCAAGCAAATTTCCTTGACTAATAAATGCTATTTAGATCAACATTTGAGCATTAGATCAATACTTTGCTTATACAAACCTACACAATTAAAAGTAAGGCTCCTAAAAGAAACAAAAAGGATAAGGCTATAATCAAGAGAAACTCTTAACCCTCAACAAGCACTCAGAGCAGTAGCAATCATGAAATTTTCCTACTCCTTATACTATATTCATATGATTGCTAAAATGGTCTTAGCTCTCTCATTCTATTCAACTTTGATCTGGTCTTTTTTTTAACTACAGAAAAGGATAAAAGGGATACCGGAAGCCCCATCGAAATAGTTGAAATCCTCATACACAGAAAATTTTACAAAACTTTTTGGAAAGTTCAAAGCATAATTTCCTTTTGGAATAACCTTCTCCAATTAAATAATATGCAAACTATGTATGCACTTTCTTTTTATTAAATCATTCATCTTTCAGGTTTGTGGATACCGTAATATGATTAGATAAAACTATCAAAAAATGTCGAAAGGAAACCTAGCACTCAAAGGAGGACTCTAAGAGGAACCAAGCAGGGACTTTCAATCAACTAATTGCAAAACACAATAATGGTAGTATCACAATGAATTACAAAGTTCAGAGCAAGTTAAATAAAATCAAAGGCTTACAAGGAAATGGCCTTAACCAAAGAGCTCATAACCCTTCAATAGTAAAATATAATGCTTGTGTGGCCCATCTTTCAAACAGCTTCACTACACTACAAAGCTTAAGTTGGACTAAACATGGGTATGGAAGGAACAGCTTTACCTTCAGTATTAAAAACAAGTTTCTAAAGACCAAAGATTGATGCTCATTGTGCTTCAAAATAAAGCTGCAACGCAAAGCTGATAGATATAATTATGCTAAAATATGAAAAAAAAAGAAAACCCTTGACGTATTCAAAACAGCCCTTATATTATTATTTCATCTAAATAAGCCTCTCAATTCTTATTTTCTACCATCTAAGCCCTTTTGTCCTTAAATTAATGATATGTTGGTATATTTTAAGACATGTAGACAATAACATGTCAAAAAAAATGTATACATGTGTAAAAATAAGAAAATTTTAAAAAAAGATGGTCTAACAACAAATTTTATTAGTTGATACCATAATTAAAAATAATTATAAAAAAATTATAAAATTAATAAAAAATGAAATGTCTAAATTTATGTGAAAATTAATAAAAACAATTAATTATTTGACCATGATCGAAAATAATTAATAAAAGAAAATGTATATAAGTAAAATCATTATTTTATTAATAAAAAAATGTTTATATGTAAAATTAATAAAAGAGGAAATGTCTATAATTATATGAAAATTAAGAAAAAAGATTAATTATTTGATACCATAATTGAAAATAATTAGTGAAAAGGAAATGTCTATATGTAAAATTAATAAAAAATAAATTAAAATTACATTTAGGACCTCCAATGCACATATTATTTGACTAAATATACATATATTTTACTTGTGTCTACGTGTGTATACACACACACACACACACACACACACACACTTATGATAATCATTTGTAATCTAACACATTGAACATTAAAGTCATAAAAGTAATTTTATTTTTTTATTAATTTTATATATTAGTACTATTTCTTTTTTAATCATTATTTTCTATCATGGTACCAATTACGAAAATTTTTTATTAGACTACTCCTTTTTTGACATTTTCTCATTTTTACACATTTTTGCCATATGTACATTTTTTGCCAAATCATTATCCACATATCCTAAAATATATCAATATGTCATTAATTTTACTATAGAAAGGCTTAGATAGTGAAAATAAAAGTTTAGGGGTTTATTTAGATGCAATAATAGTATAAGGACTTAGTTCAATTGTTTTGAATACTTCAAGGGCTTTTTTCATATTTTAGCCATATAATTAAGTTTTGCATGAATAAAATATATAGTATTAACTATTTCAGATAATTTCTGGATTCAACTTCTCAAAAGAATCTATTTCACTAAGACTTTTTTTTATAAATATTTAGCATCACTTCTTGCAGCAACTGTAACTGAGCAAAACAAGCTCATAACACAATATTCTTTCTAAAGCTCAACCAGAAAGACAATTAAAGCTCAAAATGAATGTTAAAAATATCATTCTTAACAAATTCAAACATCAGGAACCATCTTTGCAAAATTCAATAGACAAATTTTAAACAAAAACATCAACACTTATCTAGAACTTCCAAAGAAGAAAATTTGTGCCATTGCCATATAAAGTAGAAAAAATCTAGCAAAATCCATCAAGCAATCCTCATAGGCTATTCAGTCCTATCTAAGCAAACATAAATGATAGTAAACTGGAAAATTTACCAATCAAATCTACTGAAAATATTAGACAATTTTTCCCTGTTCATCATAATCTAAAGCCTAAAACTATCTCATAGTTGACTACACTTAGAGCCTTTTCCAACAACCTAGAGCCAATAGTAAAATCCCAACCATGCACTGAATGAAAGTTTAGCTTGCATATGAAATAACTATAATGAGCTTAAATGTGTTGTAAGAAAAAAATAATTTATACTCATCTAATGGCTTAAAAAGGCTAGCTCACGTAAACATTTTTTTCTTGCCACTCCACCCAGCTTCTTGATCATATACTGATTAGATCTCTTAAATTTTCTGAGAGCCATGAGATATGTAAACCACTCAATAACATTGAACCCAATCTCAATAAATCTCATCACCACATGTAGATCATCGCTACAGAGCATGACCAAAAACATGCTGCAATAGTTTCTGTGCACCTCTCAAACAAAAAACATCAAACATTGGATCTCTAAATTCTTTGCATAATCCACTTAGTAATAATATAGAACCCTGCATTGCTCATCCCCCACCCTCCTAAAAAGTTGCTTGAATTTTCTAATTAGTGTTACTTTCTTCAACTTGACAATTATTACACATTGAAACATCCCCATTCCACCACTAGAAAGGAAAACCTGGTCAATTTCACATCCAAATAGGTAGTGAATGTCACAAAAATAAATAGCAACCATCTTTATCATTATATACCTTCAAAGGCGGGGGGGGGGGGGACCCAGGGGATTGAAAATTTTTGCCTGTAACTTCCAACAAATGTGGCTAAAAAATCACAAACTATGGCCACGTTGTTCATCTTTCAATTCAAACAATACTTTTGCACCGATCCCTTTGATATAGATATTGCCACACTAATAGAGTAGAATGTATATCCAAAGAATCACCAAGCCAAGCAAAGCAATGCTTCATTATTGTGGTTTAAAATTTGGAAAGGGTAAAGTAGAACAGAAGAGAATCCATCCCGTTGAATCTTCCACAATTGCAACAATTTGGAATGTTATAATTATAATTATGTTATTTCAAAGAGGACATTGCTCTCAAACATTGGGAGATGAGAATGAGTTTCAAATTCTTAATAACGCCCACAAAAGTGTGACAGCTACAAGCACACACATAGAACCCTTAAAACGCAAAAATATATATCAAGCATGGAGTCTGCCTACTGTCCCCAAAGTGGTTTGGCATAAAAGCACTCCAATTCTACCTGAAAATTGTAAGGCCATACTCCGTAACTCTACTCAAGAATTCACAATTGACTTTCTTTAAACCCAAAGCTTCTCCACCATTTGGTCATAAGAGTAAATTGCAAAAGCTTCATTACCAAGAATGCATCCTTAACCACAACTCCTAGCCTAACTTCATCAATGCAAAATAAATCAACAAACTGTCAAAAACACGCAAAATATAAAAAAGTTCATTATTTTCTGCATGTTTTCCCCATTTTCAAAGTATCATAATTCATAGTACAAAAGAAATCACCTCGCAGAATAAAAACTAATTAGAGCCCCCATTGATTAAGAACGCAAACCCCAAAATCCCACTAAACCAATCAAAACCCAACTCATTTTTCTACAAATTAAACAAATCTAAACAATCCCCAGATGCCAGAACGAAGCATTTAGATAGAAAACCACAAAAAAAAAAAAGAAGACATACATTTCTTCCTTTCCAAACTTCGTAAACGCGCCTTTCCATGAGAGAAATTCCAACGCCTCCTCTTCCCTCTTATAGCTTTATTGTATTACGCTGGAACTGAGTCGAAGATTTGAAACTTGTGGGGGATTTTCATTTCATTTAAAAAAAATCACAAAACCTCTTCTGGCAAAAACCATCCTCACCACACTGAAAATCGTGCTCCGTATGATGATTGAATCGTAAATGCCAGAGTTGGACCCTGGTTTTTTGGGTATTCAATATTTAATAAAAAGGGAATTATTGTAAAAAAAACAGAAGTGTGTGGGTTATTCGCGTTCTGTCCGTGAGCGAGATGGGAATTTTTAGGACTTTGCCTTTTCATTATATTAAAAAAAAATACTGGAGGGAAAAATCACGCCACTATATCATATTTTTCAAACTAGAAAAGGGCATTTGCTTTTTAGGTTTATGACATGTGAAATTACTAATTTGCCACTAGATTATCTTCCAATTGGTGGGTCCAGGCTGAGATGGCATGATGAGATTGGTGGCGAAAGGACAGAACATACCTGGGATTTTGTTTGTTTAAGGGAAAGTACTTAAGTAGTAAAGTACTAATTTATTTACTGCAAAGTTGAAAAACAAACATGTAAAGAAGGCAGGCCTTGTTAGACTCTGTGGAGAGACCCTTTCCTTTCGTCGGAGTTTTACGGCTTACATTCACACCGTCCTTACAGAAGCGTATATTCCATCCCTAAACCCTTTTCCTTTTTACTTCTATAATATATGTTTATATACATCGTCAAACTTCATTATTACTATAATAATCCCAATTACCAATTAAAATTTTTCACATTGTAGTCTTGTGTTACACAATATTAAATGGTAATTTTTCTTTTTTTCTTGTCTTGTGAATATCATTCATATTTTAATTAGTAAACATAAAAAAAAATAAAGTTATTCTAAGTTGATAAAGAAAAGAATTTCTTTCTTTGTCAATTACAAGTCAATACTTATGAACAGCATTCTAAAATAAAATGCATTATAGTTTGACTCGTTGGTATGCTTAAAATGATTCAAAGTTGAAACCCTGTCTACACATTAAATGTTGGTTATTGATTAAGATTACTCAAATTTGTTGGTATCTTAGAATTTGACTTGTCATCATAGTATAGTATATATGGTCAGTAGGCAAAAGGAATATATATTGTGGTTGCAAATATAGATATTTTAGTAATGATACACCAACCACAGATCATTGTTTTATAAGTAACTAATGATTTTTTATGTAGTGTGATATAAAGTTACATAACGCAAGATAATTCTCTTCCATTCTTTTAATCTCACCTTCTTATTTTAATAATTAAACTTGATATCTTCAATTTTTTATTTGGAGAAAATATAATTCAAATCTTACTTTTTAAATAAATGATCATACAACAATCAATTAAGTTAAATACTCAAATGTAGTTTCTTTTTAAAAATCAGGTGCGATATTTTCTAAATTGACATTTCATTTTAATTCTAATTACTATTATATCTTTAAGATTTTTTTTAACAAAAAATGTTATTATTTGAAAATAAAAAAAATACATATTGCAAGAATTAATAATTGAACTTCAAATTTATTAGCTACTACATTTCAATGATAACTATATGAAATAGTTGTCTTAAGCTCGATTCACTCTTTAAGATTTTATATAACACGAAGGTGGGTAAAATGGATTCTATCATGGCATTGACGAGATTCAGCACTTGATGGAGACAGTGAAAAAGGGGAAGTGATAAACATTGACTTATGTTTTGATATAAGCAATCGTGCAATCAATTTTTATATTGGAGTTGATCATGTGCGGGCCACTATTAACCAAGGTCATCAATCCATTCTGAAATTAATGCGTTAGTATATGGTTCGACGATATCATTGAAAGCATATGTTTTTTTGGCCAAAATTGAAAGGTTATGTTCAAAACTCAAAACAAAAAGTTTACTTAAAGCCTATATATTTTCTTTCAAAATATGGGGTTAACACATATATTCAAGTTGAAATTACTTGGTTATAGTTAAAAAAAAATAAAATAAAATTACTCTTTTCGTTTTAAATGGAATGTTCAAATTTTTTTATACTTGGAATGTTCCCTTTTTAGATGCTACAAAGTTTTAAATTCGAGGATTTTGTTCTTTACTTTAGAAATTTTTATCCTTTAAGCAACGTTAAAACTATTTATAATTTTTTTGTTAATCTTTTGAATGACATAAAAATTAGAGGCCCATTTATAGGTAGTAGTTCAATGAAAAACAAAAGTAAAATTATATAATCAGTCAACGTACTCAAGCGAAATTTCATACGTAGTTTATATAGTGTAATAATTCATACATATGTAATTTTTATATTAAATCTAATATTTAATTTTGTGGAGGGTGTCCACATGATACCCTTTCTTTTTTCCATTCTCTACTTATTTGTTTTATTTTTTGTTTTTTTATTTAATCTACATTTTTGTTTTTAAAATTTTTTTTCCTTATTTTTTATTAGATAAATTTTGTAAAAAAAAAAAATCAATGGAGATAAGGATGATAAAATAATTTGCATTCAATTGATTTTAATTCACATCTATCCAACATAAATTTGTTTTATAAAAAAAATCAAGATTAGATTGTCATAACGTATAAATCCTTAGAGCTATTACTAGATCTAACTTTAAAGAGTTTCCACCAATCTTTTTATTATAAATATAATTGGCCATCACAATGAATTTGTTCTATTTTAAAGAAATGCCTCAAGTTTGATTTAGGTATCTTTAAAAAATATATTCATGTCTACGAAATCATAAATGGGTTCGAGAGTACGGTTACGTGAGAGAAAGGTTACAACACCCCTACATTGCCCATCCAAAAGATGGTAACAACTTGATTTTGTATTATCCAAAAGCTTAAAAAACTTACTAAGTAATTTAATATAAAAAATTATCCCTAAATTACTCCAATATGTAGATAATAATTCAAAAACATCACTTCACCTCAAGAGTATTCAAAGAGACTATTTATCATGCTTTGAAGAGACTTCGTCATCGGATTCATTAACATATTTTCTAAAAAATTATTTTTTGAAAGCAAATAATAAAATCTTTCAATTGTTTGATAAGATTTTATATCTACAATATAGCCTATGGCTTTGCTAACACCCCTTAGCTATGGTGATTGCCTTTCTTTATAGTTTAAACAAAAATCAAACAAAAACCTAAAACATATATACTTGAAACTCTAAAAACTTTTGCTGTTAAAATTTTTTGTTGAATACCTTCCTTTTGTGTTTCATCTCAACTCCTTTCCCTAACACAAAACTTCCAAGAGAAAATTATAATTATTTAAACCCAAAACACCATATAAGACAAAAAAAAACCTTTTAATTTTTTTTTGCCTTTTTTTTACTCTTTCTCCCTTGATTTTTTTTATTGATTCTTCATTGTATCTAATTGATCCTAATAAGGTCTTTTATAGGCCTCTAATCCAAATTGCAATAAGAGAATTTTTTTTTTATTTCAATCTCCTAATCAAAGTCAATTTTAGATTTTTAATCCAAGTCCACTTCTCAAATCAATACATTCCGTTTTTCAATTAGAATATTAGACTTCAAACCAAATCAAACTTTTTCTCTTTTTTTTTTTTTTAAAAAAAAACTATAAACCAATTAATTAACAAAATAAATAATCCTAAACTAAACAAAATACTAAAATCATAAAATTAAATTAAAAAATACCCCAAACTAAATGGGGTGTCTACGACTACTCTTCTTTGCACATTTTCTATGAAACAAGAATTGTGTAAAGATAAATAACATCCATTTTGTTCGGGCCTAGAAAAATCAATAAATAAAATTACAAAAGTTCTTCCTCAATAAAGGCTTAACAACTTTGAAATATAAAAATATTCTCACTTTTATTCAATAAATTCAGCTCAAAAGATTTACGAATCTTACCTAGATGACTTGAGATTATGTTAGGAGGTCTTACAATTCTTGACATGAAAATAGATTCAGCTCAAAAGAGTTACAAATCTTGCTTGAATAACTTAAAGACTATGCCCAAAGGTCTTACAAATTTTAACACTTAAATGCTCCTTAAAGTAAAGATTCCACAACTTTGAAAATGTAAAAGAAATTTTTATCTAAAGGAGATTAGGGGTTCATTCAAATATTTAAATCCAAGATTTAAGATTCTCACCAAAAGATTATTGAGATTTGCATAAGTCTTTAAGATTCTTATCAAAGATTCAAACATTCACATTTGAAAATCTTAAAGATTCGCATCCAAAATTCAAAAATTCTCATTTGAAAAGTTTAAATCTAAAATTCAATGTCTCAAGGATTCTTATATGAGATTTTCATCTTGAGGTTAAAAAAAAAAAAACTCCTCTAAATAGAGGCTATGAAACTTTAAAATTGGAAGAGTTTCTTAACTAAGATTTACCAACTCTTCTTAAAATTATTTTTTTCATCCAAAGGTTTCAAACTTCATCTTCACAATATTTTCCTCATATGAGGATCAAAATCTTATCAAAAGGTCTTTTTTTTTAAAAAAAAATTTTAGTTTTTCTGATATTATATCCAAAAGTTTTAAAAATCATGTCCAAAGATCCTGAGAATTATGTTTGAAGGTCTTACAAATTATACACGGAGGCCTTGAAAATTATGCCCAAAAACTTTACAAATTATGCACAGAGGTCTTGCAAATCATATCTAAAGGTCTTGAGAATTATGTTTGAAGATCTTGAAAATTATGCCCAAAAGCCTTACAAATTATGTTCGAAGGTCTTGAGAATTATGCGTAGAGGCCTTACAAATTATGCTCGAAAGTCTTGAAAATTATACCTAAAAGCTTACAAATTACATCCAGAGATCTTATAAAGCATGCCCAGAGGTCCTGAAAATTATCCTCGGAGGCCTTACAAATTATGCTCGAAGATCTTACAAATCATTTCTTATATTTGAAAAAGCTTATCCTTAACAAAGATTTTAAAACTTTAAAAAAAAATTATTTCTTTTGAAATAAAACATCTCATCTTCAAAAAGGTTTCACCTCCTAATCAATGCTAAACTAAATCTCATTTTGAAAATTTTTTTAGCCTAAAACTTATCACTTTTGTCTTAAAAATTTTTCCTCAACCAAAAATTGAAATCTCAAACTCAACAAATTCTCTTCAATCAAGGGTCAAAATCTTATATTTTCAAAATTTTAACCTTTCAAAATCCAAATCCAAAGTCAACTGAATATTTAATGAATGAGATGAATGTCATGCATGCAATACAAAAATCAATGTCATGAATCTTTAATTGTGATAAATAGGTCTTCAAGCCCTTTTTCATTTTTTGTCATAGAGCTTTAAAACTAGCTAACAAGCTAGTTTTCAATAACAATCATCCATCCCTTTTTTTTTACTCAAAGCATTCTATTTTCAAATCATTTTATCTTATCCGTAGATCTTATTCAAATCTTTTATGATGACCATTCTCCTTGTTCCAAAAAATCATTCTTACCATAATGATCTAAAATCACCTATCTTTTATCCACACCAATTTATGTCAATTTAAATATAAATATTTTGACAACAA